TGATTGGTGTAAATTTACTATGGAATTTCTGTTATCTATTATCTTCAATACTGTTAACCAAAGGACACTTGCATGATTTTTCTAGAATTTCGATAAAATGGAACCGCCTATGGGGAACAGTATTAATCATCCAGTTCCCATCAATCACACCAGTAGTGATGACAACTAGTAAACACTACAGTATGATTCAAACATCAGTCTTCCACAGTCTGTTGAAGAATGAGAAGATTTCAAAGAAGTTTCATAGGCATTGAAATTGATAGGACTGAAGAAGGATTCCAATTTTCATAAAAATAAGATTACAGCCGGATAACAGTAGCTCAAATGAAGCATAATTTTAGTTTTTTATAGCTCATTTTGAATAGAGATGCATCGATTCTTGTTGCAACAGATTCCAGAAAACCGGAACTATTACAATCGTTTGGAACGAAAAAAAGGCGTGAGTGAACGGAAGATTCACACTCACACTCTCAGAAATATATTTTGTTGATTGTTTTCTATTAATTTTGTTTTTTCTTCTACTTTTCCATTTTCATCTTAGACCGAAAGGTAAATGTAATAAATCATTCTATCTCGTGATCTCAGTAAACTTTCTTTTAATTCGAAATGATAGACAGGTATGGTGAACAAATGACCGGCTTGAGTCGTGACTAATACGTCTAGGAGCAGAAAAATTATTTTTCATGACGACAAAGCAAATGAAAAGCAATAAATTGACTACTTTATTTTTTGCAATCACTCATACAGACACGATAACAGTCAAAATGGCGCCTATACATTTCAATCTGTAAGCTATAAAAAAAAAAATATTTGATTCGTCGCCAAAAACGAGTTAAAACAGTTTCAGATAGATAACATTTAACACGTTTTTGACGGCTAATCAAATATGTTTTACTATTTCGTGTCAACGGTGAATTGACAAATGTGCAAGGTGTTTGACAAGTTTCTACTTAAAAAGATGTTTTTTGCGTATAACTTCACTATAAATTGACCTTTATCCACTGCCTATTTTTGTATGATATGTGACGCCATCGAGGTTTTTATTTCTATAGACAAGCTTTTAAAATGCTCTTGAAAGTAATTCCTTTTACCTGAGAACCAAACGTTTTGCATTGTTCCTGGTTTTTTGGTAGGGACTTTTGAAACGTCTTGTAAATGGTTTATGTCAATCCGTGAAAAATAGTTACCCACTCAGACACACAACAGAAAAAAAGCGTCGACATTTTTCGTTGTTTGTCTGACTGGGATAGTGCTCTACTAAAAACCCTATAATGGTTTGAGCTCCTATCACGATTTGACTACGTCGTCAAGTTTTATAAATGTCTGTTTTCAAGAGGTCTTGTAGAATCCTAGGTTTTCAAATAATCGAGTTCTCTAATTCTGACCTGAAACTTTGCAGATATAGAGACCTTAGCTATACTAACTTCTATACAACTATTCAGAAGCTTTGAGTAAGAACTCTTCGACATATAAAGCTTTAAAAAATGTCCTGTTTTATACAAGATCTATCAAAGAGGACTTGTGTCTTGAAAGTTCCATATGTCGGAGAGACTTTGTTCAAAGCTTTTGAATAGTTTCATGGAAGTTAGTCTTGTTAAAGTCTCGATATGTGCAAAGTCTCAGGCCAAAATTAGAAGATTCGATTTTTCCGAAAAGCTGTGCTCCCACAGAGCCTCTTGAAAATACAGATTAAACTTTCGATAGCTTGGTCAAATCTCAATAGAAGCTCATATCTTTTCAGGGTTTTCACTAGAACACTATCTAGCGTCTACAGGCAATTTTTCATACTACTTGTATCACCATCAGGTTAGCATTAACAATAGAAAAGATCTTGAAATAGAAAAGACATATATATATATATCTTCGATAGCATAATCTTTTTTTGTTAGCCTGACGATGACAAAAATACTATGGAATGTTCGTGAATAAAAAGGTCAACAATCTAGTATTCATCTTTTACTGAATTTTTCGGTTTACTAAAAGCTCTATTTATAGCTCAAACTTGACCATAACGCATAAAACTACACGACAAAAACTATTCTAACAATAAGAATCTCATCTCACTATTAAAGGTTGTGTAACAGTAACAAATGTAAGAATATTTGATCAGTTTTTTGTCTACTATGATTTTTTTCCCGACTATTAACAGTTGAAGAGACAATGAATTGACCATCCGCACCAATTTCATTGCATAAAATTTCTCCAGAAAATTCTTTCTTTTTTTTCTATTTATCAATCTGAAGTTCATGTGAGTTTTTATTCAATCGCTTCTGAGAAAAGTGGAAGATTTTGGTGATTGATGGTGTTACAATTTCTCTGATTTCGTGCTCTTTTCAGAAAAATTGAGTTAAACCCAAAAAAATTCAGATCAATAAACAGAAAAAAACGGGAATTTTCCGGAAAATGTTCGCCTCACTAAACTGTTGTGTATGTCAGTGCTCTTTTCGTTCGAATCACCCGACTATAGATGGATAAAAATACGAAAATACTTCTCAACATGTCCATAAGCGGCTGATTTATTGAATTCAGTTTTTGTCGAGTTAAAATATTTTCTGAGAATGACGATGCGATGCTATCAAAATTATTCAGAGCTACGGTATTCTATGTATTATACCCAGTGACTTAAAAGATCAAAAACATTTCATGATTTTGGTGAATTTTATGTCAAAAACATGAAAGAAAACGGCATTTTTTATGATGAAACATACGTAAAAGTTATTTTTTTTTCAAATTCATTGGCTATAAACGATATTTCAAAACAAAAATAGAGTGAATTCGATAAAAAATAAAAATCATGTAGTGAATTTAATTAAAATGTTGCTTTTAATCAATGAATTTGAAAAACCATTGATTTTTATGTCCGTTTCATCATCAAAAATGCTTTTTTTCATGTTTTTGACGTATCATTCACCCAAGTCATGAATTGTTTTTTGATTTTTTAAGTCACTGGGTACTATCATTTAAGGAATCACGGCTCATGAAAAACTTAAAATGCATTGGCAGCATATCCCATGCAGACAGATAAATGAAAAAACGCCGTTTTGATGCATTGACGATGAGAATTGAAGAAAACAACGCTATAAAACTCGTTTACTAGACAAATTGAAGAAATAAACGCGTGAAAACGGTTATTTTCCGTTTAACGCCTTTAACGAAGATGTTCGAGTAATGAACATGTTTAAACGTCTGTATGCAAAGAAATTACAGAAGTTAATGCGTTTTAACATAGATATATCATACATTTTAATGAATTGGCATAGAAAAAAATTAATTGAAGAGAAGCTGCTTGTTAATACTGATTAATACAACATTCTATCCAAAGTACACTAAAAGTAAAGAAAACAGCTATCTATTTATTATGGCTAACTGCTTCCACTTCGATTAGAATACTGAAAAGAAAACAAAAAGATTTATGAACAGGAACAAATTTAATATTAGTTCCAGATTGAAAAACAAGTTTTTGCATAATAGATTGTAAATTAGTAACTTCTTATGTTATTTCATGGTAAGTTCCATGCAATAAGTTTGTGCAAAAAAGATGTACGTATGTATGTTGCTATCGATGAACTTTGCGATACTATTAAAAATATTGTCTTCGCTAGCATATTTATGTCGGCTTTTCTATGGAAAATAGTACAAAGATGTGTTAAATCATCCAGGGTGAGAACATGAAAAGAAACAAATAATTCGACTTGAATTTTTGAAAAAAACGGCCGGAAAAAGTTTGATGATTTACATAACAAAAGACGATATTCGATGTACAAGAAATGCACTTAAACAATCAAGTGTGTTTTATTCTATTTATGTGAGGATATATTTTAGTCGATAGCAGGTAATCTTTTATATCTTTATCTTATAATCCATTTCCATTGGATTAAATATACAAGAAAAGCAACAGAAAACATAAAGAATAGTTAACTCGTAAAGAAAAGATTCTAAAAATAATAAATATTTCGATTGTTTTTTTTTTTATTTTGACCAATCATTTTCCCCTAGTTAATTATCTAAGTAGATTTCACTAGGCAATAGTTATCTAATGCTATGTGTTTCTGTGCGTTAATTTCATTCGTTGTAATATCATTCTTTGTTTCTTTCTCTTTATTTCTTTGTCTCTCTCTCGTAACACACTAACAACGTAAGTTGGGAACATTTGTATCATATGTATTTGTATAGTAATCATAACGATCAGCTGATTAGAACATTTTTGACAAGGTTAGTTTACATTAGAATATTTTTAAGATAATTAAAAATAGAAATTTTTTTATGAATAATTAGATAAAAATTTCTTTTACTGCATGCCGACAGAATTTTTTGCATGAATTGAATATATAATTTTTTTAGACTAATGAACAGAATAAAAATATATCTAAGTGTATATTAATAGAATGATCTTCATAAAAAATAGAGAGAAAGTCTTTGTATAAGCGAAAGAACCGAATCTTTTACTGCATGACAATAGAATTTTTATGTTTTGTCTAGAAATGAAGTTTAACCCTTTGAGTCCCGACTTTTTTTATCGAATTTAAATTTGATAAAACATGTTATTAAATAGCTAGATGATACTGCGAAACCTGTGGTTAAGTTACAATTAATTAAATTCACTTTTGGCATAATCCTGAGGGGGACCAGGGGACCAAAATGTGATGAAAAATGAAAGTCGCAAAAACGATATGAAACATATATAGATCGACGCAGTTTTGTGTGCTGATTCAGAATATGATAATTGTTTGAAGTCAAATCAACTTTATTCTCGTCGAACAGTGTCAAATACTAGTCAAAAAGAGCAAAAATGAATGTTGAGGATAGGAGTTCGACANGAATTATTGAATGAAACGGTTTTTAAGTGGCATCCTCTTCGTCGTATCAAATATTATCATCTACTGTGCCGACAAAGACGAAAATTTTACAATCTATCTTGTTTCTATGATGATGTTCATCTTTGTTTGTGTGAAAACTATGGTAATCAACGTTTGGCTAATTGTTTTGAGTTCGAACATAACATGACATTCGATTGTTCTGGTCACAGTGGATGTGAAAATGGAGGTCGATGTTTTCAAGATAGTGCCAATTGTGCTCAAACATCAATGTGTGTATGTGCACCATGTTTTTATGGGACACGATGCCAGTTCAGTACGAAAGGTTTCGGTCTTTCAATCGATGCCATTTTGGGTTATCATATTCTGCCCAGTATAAAGATTCATCATCAACCAGTTTTTGTACAAATCAGTATGGCATTGACTATAGTGATGAGCGTAGTAGGATTTATCAATGGCATTTGTTCTTTTATCACATTTAACAACACTAAATTATGTGCAGTTGGTTGTGGTTACTATTTGTTAGGTTCATCGATGACTACTCTGTTGATTATGATTGTATTTGCATTAAAGTTCTGGATTCTGTTTTGTTCACAAATGGGACTAGTGGATAATCAATCATTTCTTTATGTTCAATGTATTTTATTCGATTTTCTTCTTCATGTTGGTATTAGTATGGATCAATGGTTGCATGCATGTGTGGCAATTGAACGAGCAATAAGCAGTATCAAAGGAGTTCTATTCGATAAAAATAAAAGCAAAAAGGTAGCTAAAATAGTGATTCTTATTCTTCTTGCTCTAACAATCGGTACTTCTATTCATGATCCTATACATCGATGTCTGTTGGATGATAATGACGGTGATGTGAAGAGAATATGGTGTATTGTCACTTATCCATTCAATGTTCAAATCTTCAATGGTGTGATCCATACTATTCATTTTACGGTTCCATTTGCTATGAATGTTATTGCATTTCTTGTTATCATCGTTACGGCTGCCCGTCAACGATCATTGGTCAAACGTGATCAATCATACAAACAACATTTACGTGCTCAGTTTCGACAACATAATCATCTTCTCATTTCCATTTTTGTCTTAATGATTCTTGCTCTACCACGTCTAATCATTATTTTCGTATCTGGATGCATGGAGTCCGCTCGTAAGTCATGGCTATTCCTGACTGGATATTTCATTTCATTCATTCCACCCATGTTAACATTTGTGGTGTTTATCCTGCCATCTAAATTCTATAAGAAGGAGTTTTATATAACTGTCAATCGATATCGAACAGTGATAAAGACTCGTCTACTTCGTATATCATCACTGTAATTAGATAATTACTTGTTTTCCTATTTGAATGACTTAAAATTTAATCTGATAAAATAAGACTTGTTCGCCACTACATCTTTACGAAAATCTAAACTATCTCTGTAGAAACCGTGAATGCTGATATCTTTTGATATTTTCATCGTCTTTTAATTCATGCTCACCTTTACAATGTAGTTGTCATTTGAACACAATAGAACGAGTACAATTACAGGCTTTGAAAGCTAAATGAAACTGTATAAGAGACTTCGAATTCTAGTTTCCAATAACGCGTCCAAAAGAAAGTAAGCTGCATAAACGAACTTCAAATTAGAAGCCTACTTACACATCGGCATTCACCCATAATATTGGTACTCCTATTACCCATGCAGACAGATAAATGGCAAAACGCCGTTTTGATGCATTGACGATGAGAATTGAAGAAAACAACGCTATAAAACTCGTTTACTAGAGAAATGCAAGAAATAAACGCGTGAAAACGGTTATTTTCCGCTTAACGCATTTAACGAAGATATTAGAGTAATGAACATGTTTTAAAGTCTGTATGCAAAGAAATTACAGAAGTTAATGCGTTTTAACACAGATATATCATACACTTTAATCAACTAGCATAGAAAAAAATTAATTGAAGAGAAGCTGCTTGTTAATACTGATTAATACAACATTCTATCCAAAGTACACTAAAAGTAAAGAAAACAGCTATCTATTTATTATGACTAACTACTTTCACTTCGATTAGAGTACTGAAAAAAAAACAAAAAGATTTATGAACAGGAACAAATTTAATATTAGTTCCAGGTTGAAAAACAAGTTTCTGCATAATAGATTGTAAATTAGTAACTTCTTATGTTGTTTCATGATAAGTTTCATACAATAAGTTTGTGCAAAAAAAGATGTACTTATATATGTTGCTATCGATGAACTTTGCGATGCTATTAAAAATATTGTCCTCGCTAGAATATTTATATTGACTTTTCTATGGAAAATAATACAAAGATGTGTTAAATTATTCAGGATAAGAAAATGAAAAGAAACAAATAATTCGACTTGAATCCTTGAAAAAACGGCCGGAAAAAGTTTGATGATTTACATAACAAAAGATGATATTCGATGTACAATAAATGCACTTAAACAGTCAAGTGTATTTAATTCTATTAATGTGAGGATGTATTTTAGTCGATAGGAGGTAATCTTTTATCTTTAACTTATAATCCATTTTCATTGGATTAAATGTACAAGAAAAGCAACAGAAAACATAAAGAATAGTTAACTTGTAAAGAAAAGATTCTAAAAATAATAAATATTTCAATTGTTTTTTTCTTTTGACCATTCACTTTTCCCTAGTTGATTATCTAAGTAGATTTCACTAGGCAATAGTTATCTAATGCTATGTGTTTCTGTGCGTTAATTTCATTCGTCGTAATATCATTCTTTGTTTCTTTCTTTTTATTCCTTTGTCTCTCTCTCTCGTAACACAATAACAATATAAGTTGGGAACATTAGTATCATATGTATTTGTATAGTAATCATAACGATCAACTGATTAGAACATTTTTGACAAGGTTTGTTCACATTAGAATATTTTTAAGATAATTAAAAATAGAAATTTTTGTATAAATAATTAGAATACAAATTTCTTTTACTGCATGACAATAGAATTTTTATGTTTTTTCTAGAAATGTAGTTCAAAGTATTGAACACAATGAAAATATTTTTCACTGGGCCTTAATAGGGTTTTCTTCGCACGCACTTAAGTCACAAGCTTTTGTATATATTAAGAGACTATAAAGCTCTTGCTGCATGTATATGGAATATTTTTGTTTGAATTAAATATAGTATTTTTTTAGAGAAATGAGAAAATTAAATAAAATTGTTGAGTAGTTATACAATAGTNATCAATGTTTAGTTTTCAAAGAAGTCATATAAATAAATCATATCTCTAAAAACCTTAATCTAAATGTAAATAAATGTCGTTTTACATTTTCATAACTATATTTCAGAATAAACTGAACGTTATTATGGATGATAAATCAGATGATTCGTCTATTAGTATGACCGTGAGTGTAGAAGAACAAGAATCTATTCAACCAACAACAATTTCAAATTCCAAAAAAATAGAAAAGAAAGGCGTTTTTAAAAAAGGATTGGACATTAGATAAAGAATTTTCATCTTGGTTACAGGCAGTGAAAGCTTAAAAACGACTTTCCGAATTTTTTTCCGAATCAGCCAGATATTTTTCCGAATTTTTCCGAATTCAAGCAAAAAAATTTCGATTTCTAAGATTTTGATCTGGCAACCCTGTTCACCGCTCTCGCCGGTCCACCGTTGTACCAGTGTCGCCGGTCCAAATATACTATGGTAGCTGTTACTAAAGATACACCAGTTCTAATTTTGACTTCATTGGAATTGGACTCTGTTGACGACGCCAAGATGTCATTGCATAAACAGTTACTTTACGAGTGACTAGATGACGGAAATTTTTTGGCTTCGAGTCTCTCGCTAAGGCAAGGGTTTCTGAAGAAAATAGCGATTTTTATAAAGTTTGGCCGAGGCTTTCAGAGTCGAAGAATCTGGATCTGCAATTAGTTTCTAAAAATTTTTAACTTGACTTCTTTCACTAAAGAAAGGGATTTTCAAGAAAGTAACGATTTTTTATAAAGTTTGACCAAAGGTTTTCGGGTCAAGGAGTCCGAGTCTGTTATCAGTTTCTGAAATCAGATCCAAAATTTCCAAAAAGCGGTCACAAATACGAATTTCTCGACCCCGAAAAAGTTTGGTTAAGGTTTAAAAAATCACTATTTTCTAAAAAGACCTTTTATTTAGTAAAAACCATCAAGCTCAAAATTTTCAAAACTGATTCCAGATTCGGATTCCCTGATCCCGAATGCTATCGGTTAAAGTTTACAAAGAAATGGTTATTTTTACCTGATAGCTTTCTCTTGGTAAATGAGTCAAATACAGGCATTTTCCGTTACTCAGTAACTGATAAAGTAGCAGTCTATTTTAACGGTAACTTCCCATCTGTATTCAGTTCGAATTCCGGCTAATTCAAATTTCCATCTTTTCAAGATCTACTTAAACTGACCAAGATCAATTCCAAGGCAGCAATCGAAGCTGGAGTTGGTGCGTTTCTATCGGCTAGGATCATCAACAATTTTCCCAAACAGGGGAAATTGTTCGGCTGACTACGGTATGCCTAACAAGAAGGCAATAAGCGCATGAAGTTTACAGCGATGATTCCTCTCTTCATACAGATTGCATCTGCTCTGGTAAGCATACCGGAAAATGGTAAAAACCTCTTAGGAACATTTCGAAATGCATCTTCAAGTATCGTGAGTAAAATCGGTTTGATCAGTGAACATGTGAAGGACCTACGGTGATCACCAGTTTTCATTGTTATTGACATGTTTCCATGGTTACCCTCTGCCCCTCCCCCCTGCAATAATACACCTCCCCATATTAGAAGACCTCCTTGAAGAAAAACATCCCCAAACGTACTAAAAGGCCCACTATTAATTAATTAATTTTCTGCTAATTAGTAACTTTAATTAGTGGATTTTCGTCAGAATGTCCAGCTTTTCCGTGTTTTCAGCCAAAAAAACTGAAGAGAAGAAGTTCAAAATTATGTCTAGGCTCTTAAAATCCTGAGAATTCTGATGGAAATCTTAAAAATCGCCTTGTCTTTCTCAAAAAACCTTTTTAATTAAAAATTTGGAAAAAATTTGGGACATAATACAAGACCCCCCCCCCCCCCAAATGTTTTACGCTGTGACACAATAGAAGATCTGGGGTCTTCTATTGGGGAGGGGGGAGGGTATTAGAAGGCGGTAGTGCTTCTCTACCGACCATTACCGTAGGTTCCCGATGCATAAACCTACTGTGATGACCGGCTTTTGGTATTGTCGAGGTTTCTGTATGCTAGTAGAAGGCTATAGTACCTCCGCACCGGTCATCACTGTAAGTTTCTGCATCGTAAACCTACCATGATGAGCGATGCAGAGGTGCTACTGGCTACTACAAGCAAAGAGAAATCTCAAGAGCGCCCAAAAGCGGCCACTACCGTAGGTTTATGCATCGGGAACAACGATGATGATCCGGCGGAGAAACACCAGTGGCTTCTACACGCATAGAGATAGCTGAATAGCGCGAGCAATTCGTCATCCGCGTAGGCTTCCGATGCAGAGGCCTACGGTGAGGACCAATGCAGAGGTACTACTGTCTTGTACGAGCATAGAGAAATCTCAAGAACGCCACAAGCCAGTCATCACTATAGGTTTCATGTATCGAAAACTTACGGTGATGATCGATTTTTTTCATGTTTTTCAGCTGTCCGTATACTAGCGAAAACCATTTGTGCGTCTATAGCGACGGTCGGTTGTTGGCGGTATTGAGACGGATGTGGATGTGGATATGGGTGTGGGTTTGGGTGTGGGTGTGGGTTTGGGTGTGGGTGTGGGTTTGGGTGTGGGTTTGGGTTTGGGTGTGGGTGTGGGTTTGGGTGTGGGTGTGGATGTGGATGTGGGTGTGGGTATGGGTTTGGGTGTGGGTGTGGGTTTGGGTGTGGGTGTGGGTGTGGGTGTGGGTGTGGGTGTGGGTGTGGGTTTGGGTGTGGGTGTGGGTGTGGGTTTGGGTGTGGGTGTGGGTTTGGGTTTGGGTGTGGGTTTGGGTGTGGGTGTGGGTTTGGGTGTGGGTGTGATTGAGAGTGTGGGTGCTGGTGAACACACATACACCACGTCATGGATAATACAGCAATGCGAAACTTTGATAACGACTATCAAACTCATACCACAATAGTGTTTGATTGTTGTTCACTTCACTAAATACTAGGCCAATGGAGCGTAGCTAATCAGCACTAAAAGCAGGAACTCTGTAGATGGGTGAATGAACTCGAAAAGTAAACGAACGCATTGGACATTAATCCATCAACCGAAACAAATCTAAGAAGTTAACTGCTGGTTCAAGTTTTTTTTCCTGATGATTCACCAAATAGCCTAAGTCACAA